AAAAAAAACCAAAACCAACCCACCACCAAAAAAACCAAGCCCAAAACTATCTGTCTGTGCATGCACATGCATGTGCTATATACCATGTTGGTGCAGTGGTAACTTTTTTGACCTTAGGTTGAGCAGGGTGTGAAGGAAACATAGGACCTATACTATAGAATATGAAGATAAAGTTGCATTTATACTTATATGCCACTATACACTTATATGCCACAATACAGACAGTCTTGATAGGGAACTGTGGCTAAAAGGGATAATGGCCTTTTGCTTAAAGCATACAAAGAAATAGTAAGTACAAGGGGGAAAAAAAGCTCTCAGCTTAGAAAATATGACTGAAAGAGTGAGGTGGTGGTTTTAGATGGAGTAAGAAAGACCGGCGAGAATTGAGAGATTAAAGAGAGTGATGGTTGTATATGATGCTATAATGAAAGTGAAAAGCTTTTATTTGTGAAGTGTAAATTCTTGGAATATTGAATGGCCAGAGGACAGACCAGGATAATTTAGGATAAACCAGGTAGAGTTCAGCCTAGAAAAAAGAGAACTGGAAAAAGTAATGAAGGGAAGATTTTCTGCATTTGCAGTTTAATAGAAAAAAAAAATTAATGCCAATCTTTTGAGATTCAGAACAACAGGAATTGACAGGTACAGAGAAAAGGGAGTTAATTCACCATCAGCTTAATCTTCTATTTAATAAAATGAGGGAGTGAAATTAGTTGGGAAGTTACAAGAGCAGCAACTTGGGAGAGAAGACAGTTCTGCGTACGCTTGCACCATTCCATGGATGTTGTCAGTATTTTAACGTACTCTGAATCCACTTCCTTTAGACAGGTGAATGGGCTTGGTTTCCAAAAGCTGTTTTAGTTCACTGAGCACGTTTGTGTAAATTACTTCAGTTTCTGATACCTGGGTTCTGTTTCTCATCTCTAGCCATTTGTAGCTATATTAGTGCATTATTTTAGAGGGAGGGAATGAAACTGCTCTTCAGAAGTTTCATGGAATAGCATTTCCACTGATGTGCATCTGGCTGAAGATGTTTTGGTGCCAAGGGATGCCTCATTGCTGAAGATGAGCCTGCTTTATTTCTCAAAACTTTAATGCTCAGTACACCAAGTGGTTAATTAATGTTTAGGCGGCAGGATTTTTTAAAAGGGTGTTCTGTTGTTAAGAAGCTTCAGAAGGTAGAAGTTTTGGAAGAAAGTAACTCTGGAAATGCATAGGTAGAAGTCTGATGGAAAGCCTGCAGTCTTAAGGCCTGTCTGCCTAATGGCTCACAGCCATCATGTTTGTGTTATTTGAGAACACTGCTGCGTGTGTTCACATGTTGCGTGGTAGTGATTTTTTGAAAGATCTCTACTCCCCTCCAAGGCAAAGGTTCATGAGCCCAAGTTTAAGATCTTTGGTATATTTAGGATTGTTGCTACCTCATGGCTTGCTTTGGTGGTCACTAGCAACTCATACGATGCCAAGACAAAATTGTGCACTCTGTAGATGGTTTTCTGAGTTTATCTGTGAATCAGTTCTTCATGGGTTCTTGATGATGGTTGCTTCGTGTGCTTCTTGCTTCTTATTGGTACAATCTGTAGCACTTTATATACTTATTTTCATGTCCGGCTTCCTTGCTTGTATAGTTTTTTGGTATGGTAGCCTTTAAATCCTTGGATGGTTTGTAACTCTTGCAGTCTGAGGTAATCACTAATTAAGAAGACCTTAAAACTGATTCTGCAAGAGAGCATGAGCTTGAGAGTGGCCCATGTTATCAGTTTCAACAGTCAGGGTACTCGCTTACAGTAAGTACAAGGCCTGTACTACATTTGTTATAATCTAAGTATTCTTGGGCTCATTCCTGAATGAACAAATGGTTTGATCGTTGCAAGTTGCAAGCTACTACCGATTCTTGCAGAGAACAGGAGGTTTTAATCATTGCTACTTTCCAGGCCAAGGGGCAATATGACTAAGGAGAATGATATAATCACTGAAACGTGTGAGGAGCAGGATTTCTGGTTTGAAGATTCAAATTTTCCTCTGGGAAGGGACTCCATAGAGCTCTTTTTTGCTTGTCTGAACAAGAAATATCAGGCTTTGGTTTGAGGCATTTTAAGGTGCTGGAATCAGTAAGATAAGCCTTCCCAATGGCTTCAGGAAAGCTCTGGTATGTTCTCTAACAAGTTGTTCTGGGTGTCGGGGGAATGAGGGAATGGAGCTAATAGTCACCTGTCAAATGGTTCTTAGTTTCTTTAAGTAAAGATCTAACAAGCAGGTGGCTGTCCTTCCTCCAGCTTTTAACACCACCATTACCACCAGAAGTGCAGAGCATGCACTGTAGAATGGGGCAGAAGAAGCTGATGTGGCTGACTCAGATCTCATCCTGCAGATGATATTTTCTATAAAAAGACCATCTCCATCTGATGCTCCAGAATTGCTGTTCATTACTACTTCAGTGTATTCTGGTACATCTTTCCTATAATCCATGTCTGTGGGATGTCTACTAGACTTAGTCAGATGTGTAGGTGCTTATTGCAGTCTCAAGTATTGCCCCAAATGGGATCAGTAATTTATCACAAGAACCTGTGAACACACCTCTTCCTGGCAGTGAAACAGTGGTCTGTGGGAGCCTTCCACGTCTCTTGTCCAGATACATCGATCCTTCCCGATTCCTGAGATGTCCAAGAGGCCACGGGCAAAAAAAAAAAAAAAAAAACCACCAAAAAACCCCAAAACGGTAAGAGTAAATGGTTCTTCAGTGTGATTTTTGGGTTTTGCAACAGGCCAAAGATGCAAGTTGTCTCTTTGCTTAGAATTGTGCTGCAGCTGCATGCCTTTTTTCTCAGCCTTTGTGCTTGGAAAGTAACTGTTTATAAAATGTGTACATAATTTAATTTTTAGGTACATAATACATGATGTACTGTGTATAGGATTTACATATATTTTTCTGTAAATGTGTGTGTGTGGAGATCATACCTTATTTGAAGGTTCTTCATTTTCACCCAGAAGCCAGGAATGTTGCTGCCAGTGCAAACCTATTCATCACTTCCATGGTAAGTCTCCACAATCTCTGACAGTCATATCTAGCTACAAACTATGTATATTAAATTCCATAGTTTGGTGGTCATTGGGAGCTAAAATTGCCCGTACAAAGTTTAAGTTTTGCATGTTTTGAAATTAAGGAAAACATTAAATAGAGTCTGCAAAGTAATAATACATGCTCTTCTCTAATCACCAGGCAGAGAAAGACCCTGTCCTACCCTTAGTGTTTCTCCTAGGCAGGAATTGCGTCCATTTTCCACACCAGTTGGGTACTGGTGGCTTGCATCAGACTGTTGTATGCTCCAGTTTCTGAAAGTTGGTTATCAAAAGGAAACATTTTATACAAGGGGATCTACATATGTTTCCTTTTTTAATCTTCAAAGTAGGAAAAGAAAAGCATTTCTGCCTCAAACCTGCGAGTGTCTATGTAACTCCAGAGCTCACTTTCTCATCTTGACACTAACTGGACAAGTTGGTACCCATTCTCAAGCCCTGTCATTGCTGAGTTGGCAGAAGAATGCCCTGAAAATTATCTGTAAGGAAATCCCTCCTCCACTGTGCTTTCTCTTTAGTCAAAAGCCCAATTGCAGAGATTTGAACTCAACATGAGATGGGCACCACCAGGAAAAGGTTCCAAAGCAAGACTTGGAACTATTTATTGTTTGTGCACAGCTTTCCTGTTCCCTCTGAAAGCTCAAATCTTGGGTGTGCCAGTGGCATGCCTACAGATAGAACAAGATTTACTTCTCTATATGTCTTAAAGCATATTTGCATTTTTTCACAAAACTACTTGAAGAACAGTACCTTTGCAAGGACTACAGGCTGGTAGATCACCGTGGCAAGTAATTTTCAAGCACCAATGATTAGTTGATAAGTGGTATCATATAATCCAACACACCTTTTTCCAGGAAGGTCTTTCAAGTATGGACCCTGAGATGAAAAGAACCATCAGAGAGATGGTTGAGCTGGGTTCCATGCACAGAGGAAGTATCACTGAAATTTTATGTCAGCCAAAGGAGTCCTGACTTTCACATATGCTGGGCCACCCACCCACGTTCTTAAGGTCTCACTTCTGTTTCTATAGAACTTACTCCCCTATGCAAGGTATTCACAGAATTTTATTCTATTCACAAAACCCACAAATGGCTACTTCATCACAGATGGTTCCTAA